TACTGACTTGATGGCACCGAACAACAAGAGAGACCCAAATGTCCATCAACTGGAAAATGGATGAATAAGGTCCATTTAGACATGAGGTATTAATAACTACTGTTGGATGCTACCAACTCATAATAACCCCACGTGAAGTAGAAGTTCTGTCCCATAAGATTTTCTTGGCTATAATCTTCATGGAAACAAACTGCTAGAGCCACTGGGTGACTTCCAACCACTGATCATTCAATCAGCAGGCAAGCACTTAACCACTGCACCACCTGGGCTCCTAGGGGAGTGTAACTCAGCCATGAAAAGGAATCAAGTTAGAATCCATGGATAAGTCTTGAGAACATGATGGTGAAAGAACCCAGATACATATTGCATAAATCCATTTATATACAATGTCAGAAAGGGCAAATCTATGTACACAGAAAGCAGATTCGTGGCTGCCAGGAAATGGAGGAAATTGGGGAACTAGGCAGAGACTAATAGGTACAAGGTTTCGTTTCAGAACGTTATGGTCTGGAATTGCTCTTAGGTGCCATCGAGTCGGTTCTGACTCAGCAATCCTATGCACAACGGAACGAAACACTGCCCCGTCTTGTGCCGCGCTCACAATTGTAACGCGTCAGCCCAATGCTGCTTCCACTGGGCCAGTCCGTGTTGTTGGTCTCCCTCTTTTCCACTGACCTCAGGAGTCCTGGTGTTAACGCTGTGGGTAAATGTGTTAGGCTGCAAATTTGGTGTGAACCTCAAGGTCAGCAGTTCAAGCTTATCAACCACTCCTTGGAAACCATACATAGGGTAGCTATGGGTCAGAACCAACCACTTTATCAAGCTCGACGTCCTCTAGGGATTGGTCCCTCCTGATAATGTCTGAAGGCTATGAAAGACAGTAAGTCTCCCCATCCTGGCTTCTGATGAGCATTCTGACTGTAGTTCTTCTAACACAGGTGTGTTCTTACAGCAGTCCGTGGTCCTGTTAATATTCTTTTCCAACACCAAAACTCAAATACATCAATTCTCCTAAGGCCTTCCTTACTCATTGTCAAGTTCTGGAATTAGTGATGGATCTACAACTTTGTGAATACACAGGGGCTTCAAAGCTTTGGGGAAAACTATTATCTTGTAAAAATTTCATTCTTTTGCAAACTTTTTAAAACTCCTTTGTAAATTTATAACCACTAATTTGCATACTTTAAATGGGTGAATTTTCTGCTATGTGAATGTTTTTTATTAAGTGCCATTAAGTCAGTTCTGATTCACAGCAACGCTATATAGGGTAGCTGAGACTTTAAATCTTTGAGGGAGCAGAAAGCCTTATCTTTCTCCCATGGAGCGGCTGGTGGGCTCAAATCACTGTTCCTGTGATTTGCAGTCCAATAAGTCACCAATAAACAAACAAAATGCAGGCTAGGCAGTCAAGACATAACCCTAGCAAAATGCAGGTACAAATACCCATGCTGACATTAAACACACTGAACGTTTTCACAGGGAGAATGAATGGAAAGGAAAGAAACAGGGATAAAGGGATGGAGAAAAAGGCAATTGGGGGGGAATAAAAACTTTCATGAGAGAAGTGTAGTTCACATAGTTAGTACTGTGGTCCACGAAGCCTTTGATTGAGAACCTCACAATCCCAGTTTTTAGCGTACTTTCTCCCATCACAAATAAAATCAACCTGCTTAAAACCAAGCTCTGAACCTTCCTGTGAACCGCCCAGTTTCTCAGTGCCTACAGCCGAATCCCCCAAGTCAGTGTAAAGCTTCCTTCTCACCCTGCGCCACTACACCCCATCGGTTTCTATGACAAAATGCAACTCATTTACCTTAGCTTCTTAGAACCCCGTCCTCCCCTTCCCCAATCCCCCCATCACTTCCCTCGGATGACCCGGGTACTCACGCTGAACATCCACTTGAAAACATCTGTCCCAGCCACTGACCCATCACATCCCCACAGTCCTGCCTGCGCCCCCTCCCGGTCTCCTTTCTAACAGAACATCAATTCACACGTCACTGAGAGAAGAGTGGCTCCAAGCTACCACTGCAGAGTGGGAGGTGACCTCGGACAGACGCACCTCTAGTTGTGAGGTGACAAATGCTAGGGCCTTCCAGGAATACTCACGAATGGGGGCAAATCCACAGAACAGGCCCCTTCATCGTTCCTGCCAGAAACACAACTCTAGACAAGAGGAGGTGATAAAAGGAGGATTGTGTACACAAAATCCAGCTTGTTTAATAAGAAAATCACTTCTTTAAAAAAATAGGGCCTCTCTGTGCAGGGCTGCCTGCTCAGCACACGAGCGGTACAGGCAGAGTGGGCAAGTGCACATGTATGACACTCCGAGTGGGCGGAGCGCTGCGATCCGGAGGTATCAAAGTCGGCGTCTTTTCTGAGGACCCGGAAGCTCCCGCTCTCCTGACACAGTGACTCATGTGGCCATGGTGGCCCCAGGTCCTTGCCCCTCCTATGAGGCTGGGCATCCACGCACTCGGGTCCTGTGGATGGCGCCCCTGTGGCCTCTAGGGCCTCTTAGTCCGTGTCTCCTTCTCCCTCTTCACTGACCTCCAGGGGGCTGGGAGCCTGAGAAACAAAAACAGAAAACAACTCTGGATGAACACCTTCCCAGGGGCCACCTCCCACAGGCACCTGGTTCTCTCCACCTGGCCTATGGTGGGACAGGGCTGTACGCCAGGGCCTTGTGATGGGTGGTCAGCACCAGGAGCCCACAGTGATGCATGCTGGACCATCACATAAAGCATAAACCCACCCTCATCAGGGAGTGGCATGAGCCATGCCCCCAAATTCCTGTCCACCCAGAACCTGTGAACATATCCTCAGTGAGGAACAGGGTCTCTGTGAATGTGATCAAGTTGTGACAAGGTCATCCTGGGGTCAGGGTCCCTAAACCCATGAAGGGAGTTCCCACTGGAAAGGAGAGTCCATAAAGAGACAGAGAGAGACACAGCGACACGCCATGTGAGAAGAGACAGACAGGGACACGCCATGTGAGGAGACAGGCAGGGATACACCATGTGAGGAGACAGGCAGGGACATGCCATGTAAGGAGACAGAGACAGGGACACGCCATGTGAGGAGACAGAGACAGGGACACGCCATGTGAGGAGACAGACAGGGACACGCCATGTGAGGAGACAGGCAGGGACACGCCATGTGAGGAGACAGAGACAGGGACACGCCATGTGAGGAGACAGAGTCAGGGACACGCCATGTGAGAAGAGAGACAGGGACACGCCATGTGAGGAGACAGGGACACGCCATGTGAGAAGACAGAGACAGGGACACACCATGTGAGGAGACAGGCAGGGACACACCATGTGAGAAGAGAGACAGGGACACGCCATGTGAGGAGACAGGGACACGCCATGTGAGGAGACAGGGACACGCCATGTGAGAAGACAGAGACAGGGACACGCCATGTGAGGAGACAGGCAGGGACACACCATGTGAGAAGAGAGACAGGGACACGCCATGTGAGGAG